AGTTTTATTCTCCCAGTGAAGGAAAAAAAAACCAGGGAAACGTGATTTAACGTAAATTCTTATATGACCTTGACCAATTTATTCTATAGAAGTGTATGAAAGCATGTCATTCTGACCACACGAACAGCATGGATTAACGAGAATATCTTTCGACCTTATTTAAGTGCAGTTCAACACTCACGAATTTGCAATAGTTCAACTTATTTGAGATTCAGTATTTACTAATTGATGCTAATTTTACAGCTTTACGTCTAGTATGAGTTATTCTTACTGCGATGTCACTTCACTATTTTTTATTGACACGCGACATTGAATTAATTAACCATTTGAGAAATTCTTTGGTGAGGATTTTGTCAATAAACCAGTGGATATGCACATAAATTGGGGAATACATTTTAAACTAAAAATAATGAATAATAAAAAGTCAAGAATTTAGAATTTAATTCAAGATAACTTGAATTGTCGACTGAATTGAGAGTTGATGAAATTTTTATCACAGAGAAGATTTTCTGAATCTCTTTCTTCTCTTTCTTCTCTCTCTTCTCTCTCTTCTCTCTCTTTTCTCTCTTCTCTCTCTTCTCTCTCTTCTGGGGATGTCTGTATAATATAGTCAGTTTCACAGTTCATTTGATTCAATTTAAGATGGATTTAAGACGAATGGATGTCATCAACGTTTATCGTTGCATAATATTCAGGAGGAAGGTTGATTTTCTTCATTAGGTTGATTTTACATGCTGGAGTGCGCTCTCCTTTCCACAACTTGCAAAATTGAAAGGAAGTCGGACTTCCTTGGGATAACTATTATCTTAATGAAATGCTAAGTCTTTTTTCCCAGTTTTTTAAAATACATCAGGAACTCACAAGCACCTCTTTCTCGCTTTTTCTCTGATGAATTTGTGGAGATACTCCTTCGTTACAGCGAAAATAGTGGGGGCCAAGTGAGCCAGGCATTACCGCTATTTTTACACAATTTATAGAAGCAACGCTGCAAGGTTTAGGTTTCTGGATGTAATTGATAATTATTTCTTCACTCGTGAGTCTTCAATACTTGAGAAATTACTCAGAAAATTTTACGTGGAAAGACGAAATTTTTAACACCGATAAACCGACGTCTCTTGTCTGTCGAATTCCTCATTGACGGATTAGTTAATTAGCTTAATCAAAAGAATTTTTGTTTCTGCATCTAGTAAATGGTTTCAATTGAAATTGAAAATGAAATTATCCTGATGAGTTCAATTAGTTTGTCTAGAATTCTGGAACTTCA